ACAGCCTTGCTACCAGGCCCTTGACATCCTGCGCTGGATGGTGAATTTCAGCAAGTGATGATTGCTATCGCCCAGATGGCTGAGGACCTGGAGTCCCCTCACTAGGTCATCGCCTGTGACCAGGTCCAGCAGGGCATTCCCCCTGGTAGGACTGTGCACCTCTTAGGTTAAGTGGAGGTCCTGTATCTCAGCCACGAACCTCTGTGAGTGGTCAGACCTGACTGACTGCTCCTCCCAGCAGATGTCCGGGTAATTTAGATCACCCATAACAACTACATCCCTTGCCTTAAGTGCCTCTGCAAGCTGACCCGAGAATTCATGGTCCAGCTCTTCCCCTTGGTTGGGAGGTCTGTAGTAGACCACCACCATTAAGTCTGTTTCCCCACGACCCCCCTATATTCTGACCCAGAGCTCTTCAGCCTACCTCTCCTCTGACCCCATCCTGCTAGATGAGGATGTGTATTGCTCTTTGACGTAGAGCGCCGCACCCCCGCCCTTCCTCCCTGTTGTATCCTGCATGTATATCCTATAGCCCCTAATGTTGACTGCCCAGTCATCGGATGAATCCCAGCAGGTTTCTGTGAGCCCTACTATGTCCAGGTTTGAACGAGCTATCCAGAGGGCGAGTTCCTCCTGCTTATTCCCCATACTACGACCATTGGTATAGAGGCATTTAAGGCCTTGAATTGGTGCATATGCTACCCCCCAATTCTCAGGACTGTTTGGACCCCTGCTACTTACCTGGGTACTCCTTGTGTATGTCACCTGTCTTGGTTGGGAGGTGTTCTCACGTCTTCCTGTGGCCCCATCCCCCAGCAAAGCTAGTTTAAATCGCGCCGCACGAGATCAGCCAACCTGGAAGAGAAGACACGCTTGCCTTTAGGAGAGAGGTGTAGCCCATCCCACCCAAGCAAGTCCCCTGCACGAAAGTGTGGTTCGTTATCCAGGAACCCTAGGCCTGCCTGGCAGCACCAACTCCATAACCGCCAGTTGACCTTGCTGATGCAGGCCTCGTGTTGCCATCCTCGCCTACTCACCAGGAGAATAGAGGAGAATACCACCTGTGCCCCGGTCTCATTGAGCTTGTCCCCTAGGGCCTCAAAGTCCTTCATGATGCAGTCTGGGTTGCCTCTGGTCGCACCATTTGTTCCCACGTGGATGAGAACCATGGAGTACTGGTCTGAGGGTCAAATGTTGGCTGGGATCCTTTCTGTGATGTCCTGAATCTGAGCCCCAGGCATGAAGCAGACCTCTTGTGCCATGGGGTTGGGTCAGCAGATGGGACCCTCCACTCCCCTTAGGATGGAGTCCCTGATGACAAGGACCTGGCGTTTCCTTCTCCTGATGTTCCCTCTCTGTGCCGTGTGTCATACGTGGAGTGGCATTGTCCCCACTGGAGGCATCCCCTTCGTCCTTCTCAGTCACGGCTGCCAGGGCCTCGAACCTGTTCCTCAGTTGTACCTGGGGAGCCTCCACCACGCTAGCCCGAGCAGCCCTAGATCTGGTGGATACCTTCTGCCACTCCTGTGTTGAATGCGTCTCCCAGGGGGACCGTTCTCTGGATTATTGGTCTTGCAGTGAAATATGAGTCAATTTTATCCTTTGCAGCCCTGATCCCCTGCAGCCTGCTCACCTCAGCCTGGAGCTCCCGTAGCTGCTCCTCCAGAGCCCCAAGTCAGGCACAGGAGGGACAGGCAAGGGAACCACCAGCCCCCGCCCCCCACAACGGCTGCCGACCCTACCAGGAGCTCTGTCTGGGTACAGGCCTCAAAAGAGCCCACAGCAGGCGGAGCCACCGGGGTAGGGTCCCTAGCAGCTGCTCTCCACATCCGGACCATGCCTGCGGAGCTGAGCCTACTGCTCTACCTCGTTGGAGGCGCCCTTCCGGGCTGCTACCACATGCCTGCCTTATGCAAATGCCGGCGCGCCCTTACAGAGGTGCGCCCCTTGCCCTCTTTCTCTCCCCCCTCCCTGCAGTCTGCCCCCCCACAGTGTCTACCCCTCTCCCCCATTCCTACCTGATGCAACTCTGCCTTCATTCCCTCCTTGGTCACAGAGCACATGGGAGCATGGCCTCTGCTTGGCCTCACAGCAGCCTTCCAGGGTCAGAGCTGTGCTGCTGCTGACTGGCTGGGTAGGGCACAGAGTTGCTATGTGATCCATGCCCCAGGAGGGAATCCAGCCAGAGCTGGATCTGTGCCTGATAATAAGTGGGGGAGGTGATAGTGGTCTCGGCTCAGGGTCAGAGTTGGAGCTACAGTAGCTACCTCCTCCCTGCTTTCAAATCCACGGTGAAGTGCTCCCCCTCTCATGCTGAATAGGTGCGGAAAAACCTCTTTCGTTAGATTCAGGTAAATACGTTAGTTGATGTCTTTCCCTAAATTAGAGTATAATGGGTTTGAAGCTCAGTTAGTGGCAACCATCATAATATTACTGCACTGGAAACTGCATGCTTTTGGGATATGTCTTTATTATCATAGAGATAACAGTGTTCTTCTTTTGCAGGGTAATCATTTTGATCAATATGAAGAAGGACACTTGGAGATTGAGCAAGCATCTCTAGACAAGCCTATAGAATCGGTAAGCTACACATTATCATCTTCATCAGCTCAGCAGCAGAATAGGTCATGATCGGATGGTACTTGATGTGAATGCAGTTACATTGGGTAGGGCCAGACACTCTTGTTGAAATAACAGTTCAGGAATATTCTTTTCTAGTATACTTGCATGCCCTGTGTTAATGTCAAGTGTGTCTTGGATTTAGACTTTTTAATTAAACTTTTAAAAACCTAGGCAACTTTAAAATGTTTCATCTTGATACAAGAGAAACTAAGTGAAATAATATATTTACTTACGGAAGCTAATCTTGTAAAATATTGATAATTTAAATTAATTTCTCAACAAAAAGTTTCTGTGAGCCTAATGAAATGTATTTTGATCCTTTTTGGTGTGCATTTCCTGAACAGTCAAATTATAAACTAATGTGTAGAATAACTCTTAAACGATAACAGTAGTTTAAGCAGTGCGGGGAATTGAATTTTAACTATGTTGCAATACTAATCTTAAAACTTTCCATATAAGTTTACTTAAATAAAACACAACTTTGCTTCATATTTCATTTAAAAAAACATTTTATTTTGTTGCGTTAGGTATGGGGACTAATAAGATTAGTGTGTGTAGAATGGGGAAAATTTTAGCTTTTTTGCCTCTTTGTTGTCTAAGCTGCTTAAACTTTTGATTTTATCTTTTTGCCCAGCATCTTTTGCTAGTTTCAGATGCCATAAAATTATGCAACCTAAATTTCATCAGTAGATTCAGTGTGTAATATCTTTAGATGCAAGTATTCTTTGGCACTCTTAATGGAGTAGGAATAAAACTTGCAATGGAAAAATAGAGAAGCTTAATGGTGATCTGACTCAGGGTAGATTTCTTTTTAAAGACTAGCATTTCTCAGGTAGTTCTTCCCCTCAAAGAAATTAAAATTGACTCTAAAGTTTCATTCAGTTAGCATGTGCACTTTTAACCTGTAGCCTTAGCAAAGGATCAATATATATTTGCATTCCTGTATAGGTTGGTGTTGTGTGTGTTTGTGTGCGTGTTTAGATGTTTACAAAAATTTACACAACTTGGGGTGTTCGACATTTTTCTTCCACAGCAGTTGGCCCATATTAGCTAAGCAGCCATGATCTGGTTTGTATTGCACGGTCTGCCTTTTTTTTTTAATTTCTTCTCTAAGGGTTTCCTTTCCCCCTTCTTATTTCTGTTCTTCTGGTCCAGTGAACACTGCATATAGTACCTACTGTCTTAATGTGCTGGCATGATGCTAGATTTAGGCATGGCAGTAATTGATGACGCATGAGATAATGCTGCAGAGGGGAGAATTTGTATTTGATGTTCTGCTGAATAATTCAATCTGTTGATGTGTCAGAAGAATCCTAATTGAAATGCCAAGCCTGTTTCCCTATGCAAATAAGATGAAAACTAGCTAGAGTTGATATCCTGTTCCCTACCACTGTGGAGGTTATCACTAACCAGGTTATTCAACTATTATCTGCAGGCTAGACCAGTATTTTTCCCCCTCTTTCTCCTCTCCCTTTTTGTGGGGGAGAGAAGAGGAACAAAAGAGAACGCATGTAGTCCGAAAGAATATTTTAATGTGTGACAGTGTTAAGGAATAGTTGTCTGTAAAATCCATTGTACACTTAAAAGTACAAAATGCTTAGCCAGATGCTAAGTTGCAGATCATCGTGGAAGCCCTATGTATTTAATATTCTGATGCAAATGAAGACTTTGTACAGCATCAAAAAATCTAAAATGAATTGTAACACAAATAGCTTATTTATTCATACATTTGATTCAAATGTTGAGGGCCTTATTAAATCTGAATATTCAAACTTTAGTTCGTAATTTAAAGTTAAAAAATATATCTAGTTCCATTCTACTGTTTAATCTTTAGTAGCACATTTGATGGAGAGGGCAGGCAGATAGTTTTTCTCTTTAGAGAAAAACTAAAACCCCAAACCTGAATGGTTTTTATCTAAATTGTCACATTTTCCCTCTATAGAAAAATCCGATTTAAAAACAAAGTAAACATTTTTTTTAATGAATGGATTGTATTAACTTGCATCAGATAGTCAGAATATACTTTTAAAAGTTATTCTGCTAGACGCACAAACTTCTAGGCTGTATGTTAGGTTGAGTGAGACATGTGCTTTTTAGAAAGAAATATTTTAGCAGCCAGTTGTCTGATGCCCTGCCTTCATAATTCAGGTATTTCAGAGGACTGGCTACTAAATCCTCTTATAGGGATAAGCTCTTCTTATTTTTAATTTTTATTTTTAATTGAAACAGGAGTTTAAAACCAGGTTGGTTGACTTTATTTCTTAGAATAGGAAATTTTACTCTTCAAAAAAATGAAAATCTTGTCCTCTTCAACAAATGTGTTACTGGTGCTTTTAAGAAAACAGTCACATCTGCTAATCTTAAATGATCTTTAACCATTTAAGTGTATGTAACAATTTAAGCTCCTACATTTCTGACAGATTTGGGTATACCTAAAATTGTAAAACTACAGTAGGTTTTAAAAAATGAAATGGGTGTTAATTTGTCAAAACCAGAGCTTTCTTGCTCTGTTTCTCCTACAAGCGTTATGTTTGTCACCTAAAGCAATGTGAGGTATCAGTTCCTCTCTGCTTTGGGTCGCTTTTTATTTATTTATTTCATCCGCTCTTTCAGAAGTTACAGCCAATAATTCAGACTGTGAGAGGTAAGCACAAGGAAAACGCTTTCAGATATTTAGTTCTGACGTGTGGTATTTATCATTTTCAGGTATAATGTGCATTACACTTTATGATTTTAAATAATTTTCTTACAAGATTCAGTTTGCCTTTAGGTAAGGAACTCAGTAGTAATGCTTAGAATCAAAGTCTGTACCATTGGAAATCAATGGGAGTTTTGCCATTTTCTGTGGAACAGAATTGGATCCTAAATGTTTTTATGGAAAAAAGGAAATTATTTTTAGCAGTGACAGTTCAAACCATTTTTAAATTGCATTTTAAATTGGAATTGCTATAGAGAATTGAACTATATACTGCTAAATAAATGCATTTTCTTTAAGATTTCCATATAGGATTTAGATTTGTAAAAGAGAGAGAAACAAGACTAGTAGCTATAAATCCCTTTTGGAAATTCTAAGGGAGAATGGCTTTGCTTACAGCATACATTTTGTGCGTCTCTGCTGAATTTAGATCCATCTCTGCAGCATTATCTGTTGAGAGGTGCTGACTGTATTGCTACAGCATGCAACTCAAAGGTGGCTGGAAACAGGTTTGGGAGTCTACAGATCATTACATTCTTGAAACGTGCCTTGAATTAGTGTAATAGCAGTTTAAAAAAAGAAAAAAACTAATCTATAGCATCTGGTGTAAGTGAAAATCTACCTTTTATGCCTAGTTTAGGCTATAGGTGACTGGGGGTTAAGATTGTAATTGCAACAAAGTATTTATTTCCGTGGAAATATAGAATTGGAAATAGTCAGTGGTTTGGAATGCAGAGGTAGAATGATGAAAGAGAAGTTTTAGGCTTACAGTTCCAAAATATAACCAGCTGAATGATATCAAGAATTATTTTTGTTTCAGATTAAAACAGGTCAATATTTTCTAGCACTTCTTTGACAGGTTTTTTTAAAAACTTTTCTTAATAAGGGCTCCCCCTGTATTTTTCTACAACTAAATATGAACCAGCTAGTTTCCATTGCATCAAATAAAATTTAAAAATAGTTAATTGTAGAGTCATGCAAAAATGCAGGTGGCTAGTAGTTATATACCAATTATATGGATATAGGGTTAAAATATTTTTTCTAACAATAGCAGTAGACTCTTGTCTTTATGGCTGCAGATCATACTTTTTACAGAGAAAAATTCTTGGCCTAATTTAAAAGGTGTGAGGTAATCAACGGTTACTAAAAATTGCAAGTGCCAAGCACTTTTGAAAATATGACTGTTTCTATAAAATAAGTTTTATAGAACAGGTTGCACATTTTTGCTTGAAATGTGCTAAGAAAGTGTGCCAAGTCCAGGGATGTGGCATGGAAAGCTACCAAGTATTGTGGCTGAATCCTGATTGTAGGATAAGCATATGGAATCCATATGGCCTTCATGCTAATCATGTTTTGCTGAAGAAACTTGTTTTTGACAGTTTAATCTTTGTCATGATAATGTGACTTAACCAGAAGTTTAGTAGTACCCTGGGAGTACCTATGCAAAATTCCCAATGCTCTCTGGAGCAGCAGAATGTCAGGGAATAAAATAAAGTTGTCATTGTTGCAGGTTAAATGGGAGACTGCATACAATCCACTTACTCTTAAACTTGTTAGTCTGTACTTGTCATAACTAATATCCTGTTCCTTTCTAGTTCTATTCAGTTACCTAAGTAGGTTCTTTAGCTACACCAGGGTTGAGAACTCCAGTTATTAATTGTTGAAGAGCACAATTCAGCCAGCTCATCTAGAGGTCTGCTATAGCATGTGAAGTTGGGCTTTGTTACACTGCATATCTGTACAGATCTGTGGACTCCAGTAGTTCCAAAGTGTTACTTGATAAGGCTGCTGATTTGACATTTAGCAGTAGCCGTATGTGGACGGTGCTATAAATAATGTGCTTCTTGAAGCTGAATGGTGTAGCATTACTATTTGGCTTTTCTCTCTAGTCTTCATTGTGTCATCTGTAGCAAGCTATAGGTTTTGTTTTGGAAATCTTTTCAACCTCTTGTTTGCATGGGTTCAGCCAGTAGCATCCAGTCTTTGCTTTTAGATTCCTTAATACACAGTCAGCACAGCTTACAATCCACTCAAGAGATGTATGTTTCCATGTCAGTTCTGAAACAGACTAAAAGTATGAAATGCATGTCCCTGGAAGGGAACAGGGGAGATCTTGGGGAGAGGAAGAGACCAAATTAGCCACTGGCATATCTGTAACACAGTTGAATTCACTTGATGAAATAACTGGCATTGTGTGAGGTGTACCATAACTACCAGAATCCTTCGAGTCATTTTCATTGCATTCATATGAGTTTATATTAATCCAGGGTACCATGATCGGGAATTGTTGGTACTACTGAAAAGTGATCGGAGTGGCAGTCTTATGTTACAACATAAAACTGGGACCTGGAGAAGCCTAGAATATTGTTTTTGGCTCTCCCTGATTTGTGTTTCCTTGGACAAGTCACTTGGGGCAAAATTTTCAAAAGTGAGGTAGCCAACTCCCATTGACTTTCAATGAAAGTTGGGCTTCTAAACAAGTTAATAACTTTTGAAAATGCTTCCTGTGCTTTCCTGTCTCTAAAATGGGAATGATCACTTTTCTTAAAGCGCTTGTAGGAGAAGCAACTGTAGCATAAGATAATGTTCAAATACCTTGACAATATTTTGTAATATATCTTACAAGTAAAAATTCTGAAATTTGTTATGTATTAGGATGCCCACAGTTCATCAGAAAAGACAAATATCACAGCGTTTGCTATATGCATGTAGCTGTTTAAGTTACACAGTCTTAATTGCCTGTGTGGACTCCCTTGTATCATGGCTTGTTTAAATGCCAGTTGAGTGTTTTTGCTCACTTGGCTGCTGTGGCAGCTTTTATCGTGACTCTGCTACAACGAGCTCTGAATTGACACTTTATATGTTAGAAGTGATGTCTGTCTGTACTCTGAGGTAGGAGTTATTTTCGTGGACTGGCAAACAGCATTTTTTTGGAAACCATTACAACTACTCAGATAGCAGAACTTCTACTATATAGGGTTAATTTATTCAAAGGGAGTACCAGTTCTCAACAGCAGTGGAAGGCTTTTGTAAGTAAGAGATGATTTTTTTTTCTCCCTAAGAAGTGGACAAGGGAAGATTAGTAGTATTTTAGAAACAAGATCAAAGCCAACTACAATCCTTTGTGATGCTATATGGGAAATTCTTATGTGATTTTAATACTGCCTTTCACATCAGAGGCCAGTTGTGGGGAGGGGGGAAAGTTAGTGGCATGAGAACCATGGTAGCTTACTGTTCTCTGTGAGCCTAGAAGTTTTGTTTCTTCCCCAACCCCCATCCCTACCTAATACCTATCTTTTAAGGCAGCATTTAAACTCTTCAAGAGGCCTTGCCAGTCCCTCTCAGATGGAGGTCTGTGGCAACGAAGTGGAAGGAAGCAACGGGTAGAATATGGTAGTGAACCATCCTAGTCTGTTCAGTGCATAGGCCTCACCTAAAATTTAATACCAGACTCCTAAAACTTTTTTTCTTTTTTAATTATAACAGACTACTATTTCAGCTGATTATTTTAAACTATTAAATGGTTTCACTGCTTAGCAATTTTCCAAAAATGTGTTTAACGTTACATCAGAATTTTTGTATATTGGATGGTATTGTGAAAAATGCCATCTCCTTCCTGGAAACTGAGATGCAGTGAGAAACAGTAAGATGCAGGCATGAAGCCATCATTTTCAACTTATCTTAATTAACTTGTGACCATCTTCTTGAGTGGTTTTGTAAAAGTGATGCTAGTGTGTATAACCTTTCTAAATTTTTCTTTTCCCCTTTAACATTTGTTTACCCCTTCACTGTGTCAGTCACAACACACCACTCTTGAATCTCCCAGCTGGTCTTGACTTGTTGAATTTTATTTTATGCTTTCACTCTTCTTTAATAAATACATTACTTGCAAGCAGTGAATTGAAAACAAAGCAAAAGAAAAAAAAATACCATTAGTGATTGGACAGTTTCTTACTTTGTGTTACATTTAACTGTTCTTTTGACAGCCCAGTTTTTAAAGCCAGGTTCGTATGGAAATGCTTTCACTCCACTTGCACTGCTTTTGGAAATAGCATACTGCTTCATCTGTCTGTTTATTTTAGTGCATTCATAACACAACACAGTCAGCACAATGTCTCATCTCCACGTAGCAAAAGATGGTACGATAGTTTTTGTCCTTTTTTAAAAATGCAGCCATTTTTGTCAGCATCAGTTTTTTAAATCGGCTTTGATAATCCTTTGTCAGATAAAGTTAATGTGTAATGGTAGAACCATTATAGTGCAGTACCCACAAAATCTTTGAATTACAGCCCCATTTTACAGAGAGAAATGTGCAGTTGTGACCGTTCCATAAACGGTCTGCCATTTGCACATACAGGTAAGTTTTCATATGCCTTAAAGCTTAAAATGCTTTTCCATGTTGTTTATAGTTTGAAATCATAATTTTTATTCATCTTCCCTTTTGCTCCTGCTGATTTTAAAAATTTATTTCCAGGCATATCATTCCCATCATTCCTTGTTTTATTTTTCAATGTAGTACTAATTACTGATTCATCAGGCTACCCCATAAAGTGGGAGACGCATCCACCCTTTCCTAGGAAAAATTAGTGAGGCACTATGTCTTTTTTTCTCTTGTATATCCAAAAAAAAAAAAAAAAAAGGGTTTAACTCGGTAAAAATTTTTGAGGGGAAATATCTGCCCCCACGCAGCTGTCAGGGAAGGGTCTTGTGTTCTGTAGGCCTCTTTGACCATTGCCTTGCATACTATGCATTCATCCTCACCAATGGAGACTGAATGTAAAATGCTGCTGTTCTGATGTAGGGCATTTAACGATTACTAAATTATTATTGAATTCAATTTGTAGTATTTTTATTAGTTCATTTTAGGATACAATGCATCATTGAATATCACAGCCATGCAACTCATTATAACTCATGATATTACTCATGTAGTTGGTTGCATAATTAAAAGGCCCAAGCTGCATATTGAAAATTGAGCAGAGAGGCTAATAGCTACAATCTGAATAATTGAGAGAGTCTTTGTTTGAGAGGTTTACAGAACTAGTTTGCTAACTAATTGTTTGTTATTGATCTCTTTCCTAGTAAAAGGGTAAACTGATCAATAGGACAGAATCAGTTAGCTTCATAGTGAAAAGGATGCCATTAGCCTACTTGTGAAGGACTCCTGTGTAAAACACAGTGAACTCCATTTAGCGCCACTTGAAAGCTGACATTTAATTGCTGCACTAGTAACTTTCGACTTTATTCTGAACTAGTTTTTTTCTGTCGGAAGATGAGACATTATGCTTATTGTTTCCCCTACATGCACTAATGGTTCCTTGCTGTTAACTTATTGCTAGGCCTGTTTCATTCTAACATCTTAGTTTTTTTGTTAGATTACATGTGAAATGCATCACCCAGTCTGTGCTTGAGCTCATTTTATTTTAATTGATTTACACTTTTTGTTTTACTAATCTCACTGTTTTTTTTTTCAGTTTAATATTGGCTGCATGCTAGTTTATATATATACATATATATAAAAAACAAAACAAAAAACCCAATCAAGTCTAGCCTGGATTTTGCTATGATTGTGTTTTGGTTTCTAGTGGTGGGGCAGTCTTGCACTTACAACTTACTCAGTATTATAAAAGCCTGACACACAACAAAATGACTAAACGTGATGTAGATTTTCTTTACAAAAAATCTTAAAGTGGTGCTGTCTAGGTGATGGATATGATTGTATTAGCTTGATTTAATGCTTTTTAATGCTTTTTAAATGTCAGTTTTTATTGGTACACTTTATTTTCTCCCACATTTGCTTTTTTTTAAACTTTATGCACAAAAGTTGCCCAGCACACCATCAGAAAGTGACCTTCCCTGATAGCCTGTCCCCCTGGAAAAATTCTAGCCAGCAATTTTTGACATTTGTCTCTCCCTTTTATTGGGCATATATTGCCTTTTCAGTAGCATTTTTTTGCATGCATATATGTAGATTATCTCTTGCTCATCACGTGTTTAAATGTCATTGGGAAGGGAAGAATATATTATTGGAATATTTTTGGTTTGTTTTCTCTGTTCTGTCTGTCAGGATAATATTGGACACCGCTTACTCCAGAAACATGGGTGGAAGCTGGGCCAGGGATTGGGAAAATCGCTCCAGGGTAAGTTCAAAACCTTGTGTTTGAAAATCAGATTCAACACTCGTTTCAGTTTTAAAAAATGTTTTACTTTTTATTTCTAGATTAGTTTTCTTTCCCATTGTTAATTGGGTCAAACAAGCACACTGTTAAGTTTCCATGCCAGCAATTCATAAGTGGAAGCTGCTGCTTCACTTAAATAATTTTAGCTCAGACATGGCCTGTATGGTATGGGGGTGTGTGAGAGAATCACTGTTCGGCTTTTTTGGTGGGGAAGAAGTTAACTGCCTGCTTACTATCAGGTAGTTTGCACAACTTCTAAAATTACATCGTTATTCATTTAGCTGGAAGATGCAGATACTTGGTATTAAAGGAAACCTGAAAGTACAAAATTGATAATAACTCCTGTGAACACTTCAACATGGTGTCAGAAGCCATTAGAAGGCAAGTAAAAGGGTCCAGTGGAGGCTGAAAACAGTGGCAGAGGTTTAATATGGATGGAAGAGGCTCATTTCTGGTTTCTCTAGATGTTGTTCAAGGATTTTACTAATTTCCACTAACTCTAGCAGTATGTTTGTTCTGCATATACTATGTCCGCTTCAGACATTTTAAGTGCTAGTTGGCATCAATGTATATTAGAGTGCCTGCCGTCTCTAGTCCAGATTTTTTGTGCAGTTACACTAGAGAAGCCTGATGGGGTTGTACCAGTTTGAAGGGAAATATTTGACTTGTTACTTTTAACTAGTGGATCTGTTTTGGAGAGGTCCTTAAGCTAGGTTGAAAACAGGTATTTGCAATTTCATCTCTGATGTGACCCCACTACAGAGAGAAGTGTTGCAGATGTCTATTGAAGACTTAATGAGATCTTTAAACTGCAAAAATGCATGTTCCTAGTTTGAACCAAGGCATTCAGTAAGTTATTTTCAAGTATGTGTGTGTAAACAGGACTGTATTGGTGATCAAAATATTTCTCTCTCTAAAATGGTTTTCGTTCTTCTAACTCCAACACATGATACTTATGGGGAAATGAATGTAATTGACACACCTTGACTTTTTGTTTTGTCATGGAGTTCACTGGACATGTGAAAATGCTGGTCTAATCTCTTTTTGTTACATCTCAGATAGCACTGTGTGTATCAGAATTCTGGAGGCACCAGGGCCCAAAGATACAGGTCGGAACTTCCCATTGAGAGAGAGAGAGAGATGCACATGCACATGCCACATATACACTTGTGATACCTTAATGCCTAGGAGCAATATTAATGGACCCCACTGGACTACACCAAGAGTAGAAATAGGTGATTAAGTGTATGGTTTCTGGACAAAGGAGAGGTGCCACAGATGCTTCATGTAAAGAGAACTGGAGCCTCCATAGGCTTACAATAAACATTTTGACTCTTGGTTACTTATCCAGACCGAGATTTGTCCATTGTGGGTATTGAGCCTTTGAATCTGCTAACTCTTTGCTGCCGTGTGTTTAAATCTCTGCTTATTCAAGCTGATCTAAAATTTCAGGGAAATTATAGATCCTAAGGCTTGTTCTCCTACCTCCTCCTACTTTGAAATGTAAGTGAAAAGGTAAAACCATCCTACCCAGTTTGGTCCACCTCTGGTACTGGTGAGAATTCTTTAATGCAGTGGTTTTCAGTGGGGTTTTTTTCATTTGCAGATCCCTTTGCATTATAAATATGTGCATTCACATACTTTTGATCATTGTCATCTTTTGCAGGACCCTTAGACGTAATCCTCGTGCTTGCAGGGGTCCGTGGACCACACGTTGAAAACCACTGCTTTAATGTGTGCTTTGCAAAGTGTGGAAATTTTGTGGCTTCTTTCATCCAAGAAGGTCACAGTATTGTTTATACTCCTTGCAGACAAAACAGCAGCTCTAATAGTGGTGGGGTGGAAGGTCCTGTGTTTCATAATTGCTGGTGACATCATGATGTCAAGGTCCTTCCCTCTTGCTGATTAACAGAATCTTGTATGGTATGTCTATGGCACTGACACTGTTGGTGCTGAGTAGTTCTTCTCTCACAGTTAAGTTGTCTTTTTTCCCCTTTCTGTTTTTGCTTGAATCTTAAAATTAAAAAAAAAATATGAACACCAGAAAAGAAACAACAGCCCTGCTCAAGTTTATGTAAGCTTGAGGAGTAAGACCACTTTTAAAAGAACCAAAAATGGCAGAGAATTGCCAGAAAAAAACCAACCAAAATAAATGTCAGATTTCCAAATCCTTATAATAAGAAACACAGAACAATGGTGGCAGGACCTGTCATATACTTAATGCAGAGTTTAAAGCCCCTTTAATAGCTTGTAAATGGAACTACTATTTATAGCTATTGTCACATTTTACCACTGATAGTTAAAGGTCCATTTTTCCAAAATCCCTTGTTGTGAATTGCCATTTAACACTTGTACTTGGCTGCAGAAGGCTCTTGATTATTTTATTGTTGTATAGCCTAGTTAGCTTTGCATATGTTGTCGGCCAGGATTAGTTTGTACCCCTTTCCATCTGATTGACCCCTGCAGGTTTACAAAGGTGACAAGTAATGTGGTTTCTCATTTGGCTTTTAAAACTGATTCTAGGCATATGAGCCAAGGGCTTTCCCCCTCCCTTCCAGTCAACAAATTTAGACAAAAATTTTGTTACCTTATAACTGCCAATCATTAATATTGCACCTCTTCTCACAGGGTCATGCCATTAATGCTCTTTCCCTCCTGGGCTCCTTTAAGAAGAAATTGTCAGTATAAATCTATGCCTCGGAGATGGATTAGTTTGCTGGGGATTATCTGACTGTAAACCAGCAAGTAAAGGGTGTGTAATTTTGTATCTTCCATTCTTGGATGGTAGCTGGAAGTAAATTCGGTGCTTAACAATTATTATCAGAGCAAGTGGATGTTATTGTAGCACCAAGTAACTTATGCAGTAGCTCACTCTACAAGTTCCTAAAGTAAATTGACATTGATGCTATTGGAGTTAACGTGTCACAAAATATTACCCCATGGAGCTGTCTTTGCAGCTGTTTTTGTAGTGCTGATAGAAAGCTAGAATTGCTTGGATAAGCAGCTATGAATTGGTCCCTAGTAAAATGCCAGTTTATATTCATACTGTGGTTCAGTGCTAGACCCTTCTCTAACCCTTTGGAAGTAATTTAGGATAGCTTCCCCCAACCGATTTTATTTGCATCTTTAGATATAAATGAAGCAGAGTTACTTGGATATGTTGCATAAAATATCAGAGTCAGTTTTAAGTCTAATCCTGTGAAACAGTGTTTAAACATGTTTTCTTAATGTCTTATTTAGTTTGGAGAGCTTGTGTAAATTCAGCAGCAATATTCCTGCTCATCTTTCTCCTTATCTCTTTCATGTTGAAGTCTTCTGGCAAACAGCCAATATACAGTAATAGCATTTTAGCTTTTTAGCCAATAAACCTTAAAAAAAAAAACATATTGGAGCTTTTTCATTTGCCTAGCATTGCTTTCAGTACAGAAAGTAAGAGTGGCTTTTGAGAAGCATTTTGCTGCACAGATGGTATGGTGGCCGTTTCATCATGAATAGCAAAATGGTAAATGTGCCAATTTCCTCTTTCAAAGGTGGGGAAGAGAAAGCAGTGTTTGGCAAGAAATTCAGGAATTTGTGAACTAGTTGATATGTTAGTTCATGCACTGAATTTTGTAACTAGAATGCTATTGCTGAACAACCATCAATAAAATACCGAGTAGGAATATGCTAAAAGTTCTAGCTAACTTCATATGGGGCATGTGTTAAGTGAGCTTCAATTGCAGAGGACTAGATATGGACTGAGGACTGACTGAATTAGAAAACAGAATGTAAGAGATTTAAGGAAGCAGCTGAGAGTGAGAAAGCAGAGAAACAAAAACACATTTTTCTGGTGGCGATCAATGTTGTGATCCTTATCTCACAAGACAAAGGAAGTAAGATGGTATAAATTTCTCAAAAGTTAGGGAGTATAAAAAATAGAAGCTTAATCAGTTCATGTGTGCTCTACTAGAGTTTTAAGGTCTAGAAACATGAGGCATTTACATCCTTGTAATTTACCTTGGCGTTCTAAGCTGATGTAATTTATACCAGTATCCAGAGTAGACGGGTGAGCAGCTGATTCCAGGGTAGCTGTATGCAGTGGGTTAATGTTATTGTGCCTTGCCACTGAGCATTGAAGAGAAGGAAGTACCTGGTTTTCTGTGAGCAAACGCATAGCTTATCCCAGGATAGCGCACACAGCATTTAAACCAGTATAGCTTTATCTTTGCTTTTTTCTCAGGGCAGTTTTTCACGAGATTCAGGTAAGTTACATGAGGGTAGGGTTGTATGTCATATGCTTGTTCCACTTTTAGGCTGGTGTAGAGCTTATCGTGTGTCCAGACCTCAGTAGAAGAATAGCTTAAAATTTGAAAAATGAAAGTTGCATTTGAACTAGATAAGGGGGAAAACAATATTGAATGAAAAGTTAGCTACCCTGAAAGAAACAAAATCAAGTGAAGAACTGCAGCCTGCTCTGTGTATCGGAATGCAGTGAAAAAGATAGGAAAACCTCAAACCACTGAGATGACCCCAGTACTCTTTCCTACCATGGCAGGGGGTCGGACTAGATGATCTGCTCAGGTCCCTTCCGACCCTAGAAACTATGAAACTATGAAAAAGGGTTAGATTCAAGAATTTTCACTTGGCTGGGGTTTTTTTTGGTAAGTTAGCAAATGCTGTTGATGGATTTGTACATGTGTTGAGCTTTAGTGACAATAGATTGAAGAGGCTGAGAGTAGTGGATGAAATAATCCTGTGAATCTGGAAGTTTAGGGAAAAAATGCACCCAATTTAAGTAAGAAGAACTAAATAGTGTAATAGACCCTATGGCAGGGGTGGGCAAAAAACAGCCCATGAGCTAAATCTGGCCCACCAACGGATTTTTGTCCAGCCCATGATGGGTCCCCTAGTCCTGCCTGGTCCAGGCGGGAGGTGGGCATCCTGAGCCATGGCGTGAGCAGCTGGTTGCAGTGCCTCTGGAT